ATATATATATATATATATATATATATATATGTTAAAACTTATTTTCTTTGATGGTTTTAAGCTCAAATGAGTATCGATTGTCTTTGTTTATTCGTTGTGTGTATTTCATTCTTAGATTTACAAAGCATGAACGTAGAAGAGTTTGAAAATATTTTCTTTTTCGATTTCGTATCTAAATCTTAAAGGACTATAATTAATGCAAAATAATATAAGTCCAAGTTCAAGTATTGTTATCAATATATTTAAATTTATTTTTTACCTGTAATTTATTAATTGGTCCAACTCAATGAGATACCAAAAATTCATAAAATTAATTAGGTATTATAGATTTCGTTTTACTTTTTTTGTTGTTGTTCTTCATCTATAAAAAGTATAGATAAAAAAAATTATTAGGAGAACGATTCAAATTTCAAAATGTGAGAATTCAAGAGGACTTATTATAAGAATTTATAACTGGTAAAATCTTTAGAATATTATATAGGTTTATATATTTTTTAATTTATTTTAGAAATTTATTTTCTTTTTAAAAATTAGGATGATGGTATTATTTGAATTTTGTACAATATTTTAATATAAAAAATATATAAATATAATGTACATTTCATTTGAGATTTTTAGAGATGTAAGTAATTTTGTTGTGTGCATAAGAGTTTCTCCAATAATAATATTAAGTCTATGATAGAGATTAAAGAACAAAAATATTTAAGATCTTGTTATTTAATTATAAGACAAATTTATGATATCATTAAGGTCTTGATCAAGATTTAAAAGATTTAAAAGATGAAAAAGATGAAAAATTGATGACTATTGAAAAAGGAATGAATTCAAATTTAAAAGAAGGCTCCAAACATGATTTAGTTAGAAGAGACAATAGTTCATTGTTGATAATAAAAAAAGATTAATTGCAAGATTTCTTCATTTTTTATTTACATAAAACAATATAGGATGATACTTATTATGAAACAAAAAGAATATTAATTATAGTTAAGTTAATAAAAGAAATAAGAAATAATGATTGTCCTAAACTTATGTTATATTTAAGAAGAAAAAAAATTAATATGAAATATAAATGGTTCAATGAGTATTTAGTTATTTATATAGAAAGATATATTTTTAAAAATATTAAAAATAAGAAAATTATTTAATATTTTTAAAATATAAAATCTCATAAAAAATAATTTAGTATATATTTATATTTCAAAAAAATAAAATTGTATGTTTAATACTATAAAATATATTCTCTTTCCTGCTTAAAATTTCTACGCTGATTAAAATTTGACCACGGTTATAGCTTGAATCATTCGGCTGAGATGATGTTATTCTGTGTATACATGTGTGTCTGCGCATTTTGTGAGAAACGGAAACATTCTGAAAAGCAATTAAATTGTCATTGCAGGAGGCATATGTATCGGAATTTATACAACCCAAACCTTAGTGTGAAGAGCACTTTAAGTTCGGCATTTTGATGATCCGAACCTTGGTGTGACGAGCACTTTAAGGTCGGAATTTAGAAGACCCAAACCTTGGTGTGAAGAGCACTTTAAGGTCGG